GAAAAGACAAATTAATTTAATTAAATATTATAAAATGATAATAACCGAACAAGTTTTTACTAAGAAGATGTACAAGAATTCAAGATTCATGTAATAATTTAATTAAATAATTTAATTAATTAGCTCACAAATCGAAAAAATTACTAATATGAATAAAAATATTTTCACGGAAAAAAAACGACTACGGTTGCCACAACTAAAAGTTGACCATACATTTTTTTATTACAAGAACTATAGTATGATTATGATAACCGTAAAATTGGAATAGCTTAATGATTATGGCTGTGTTAAGATAGTCTATCTTACGGTTATCATAACAATGTATTGATAGGCGAAAATTATCATTATTTCTAGGATTGTGGCAATCATAGCATTTTTTCTGTACTGGAATGCTAAACATCTCTTGACATAATATTTCATATCTTTCACATCGACAGAACTGAGGGCATTATTTTAATTTATTATAATTTTACACGATCCAATTTTACCGATTAAATCGCAGACAAATTTAATGCATCCGTGCTTTCGCGGGGACAAATATTTTCACTACAGGGTATAAGCATTGGTCGGCATGCCACGTCGATTTCATAAAGCGAAAAAATCTCGGGTATTATTTGCCGGGTCATAACGGCCTCCAGCTCAACCTCGAAAGATATTTTGCGCCGGTTATTTACACAGAGTAAACACATGACTGCATAGGTTGGATCTAAGGTGTGTGAGACATAGCGATTTGAACAGACACATAACATAGGGATTAATAACTTATAATATCGGTAGAACGTTAGATCACGTAGCCCAAAACATTCCATCGTACTACAATACAAGATCGAGGGTTCTTTTCTCTTCCTTACCTCGTACCGGAAACGCGAATCGAGTCGCGGATATGCTATATCCCACATTATTTCTTCGAGTTTAATTGTTTTGATGCCAGGCCTAAATCAAATTTTTTTCTTTTCTTTTTTTTAATTATTTTGATACATCACTTTCATGGTATATTACATGTCATATGACCCCTGATGTCGATTACAAGGAATAAATCTGTCTTTTTATAAAGATACGATGGAGAAATATTTCCTTCAACTGCTGAGTACGATTTATTTACTTCTGTAAGAAATGTGTGAATGAAATTTATTCGCGTGTACATATCAAGAAGTATATGAATTCTCCTCTATAGAAATATAAACTATATATTCTTATAAAATAGAATTATAACTAATTTATAAAATATATGTGCAAATAGTGTTAATTTCAATCGTATGTGCCTAATTTAATATTTTGGTAAATGATGAAAACGATGAATGAACGTATAAAATCTTCAAGAACCTCTAATAAAATTTTTAACGTCAGTAGCATCTATTTAACTATTGTGCATTGAATAAATTTATTCGTCAATTAAAATTCTTTGTAATAATATTAAAGAAATAATTATAATTGTATAATTACATTGATTATATAAATATAAGTAAAAGGAATCTGTCCTTTAAACGAAGATATTTTATCTTATTATTTTACAATGTAAACATATCTATCATTTGCTCTTACAGATTTTTTAGTCGACTAAAAATAACATTCATTTTAATATACCGGATATGTCGATGAATCACTATGTAATTAGTAATATCACTGGAATCTGAATAACTGAATTGGTAAGATATTTATCACTCAGAGAAAAAAGTCGTATCAGTAACTATAAATTTGTAGTGAAATAGCGCCTCAATTATATACATATTATTAAATTCTAATAAAAATACTAGATTAAGTGAACTAAGAAAATATAGTACATTAACCATACAATCAATTTATAAATGGTTAATATTATTATATTTTCTTAGTTCACTTAATTTACTTATTGTTGTTATTGTTGTTATAAAGCTTTATAATACATAGTTACAAATTTGTGTATGCATTTCTTATTTATTTTTGTCTTCCAAGTTTGAAACCAACACTGCGCCTTTTATCGTAAGCTGAGTAGTTTCCTTCTTAGGAGAAACTGAACTCCGCTACGTCCCTCTGGTGACAAAGCCGCGTACTACTCGTAGTGAGCGACACTTTAAAAATTTTTGTCTAAACTAAAAGAAAAATGTAATTGTTATATCTATTTGCATGAAGTCCAAGTAACTACTCAATGTAGTTGAGTCACTATTTCACTACCAATTAATAGTGCATACAATTTGTTACCGTGACTATATTTTTATAATATTCAGCACTACTTTAGTTTCTATTACTTTGTAAAACTAGTTACAGGTACTTCAATTGCAAAAGTTGCCAAATTTATAATTGCTACAACTATTTCGTTTTTTCTCAGTGATTCAGTAAAGAAGAAGGTTCAATTTTTCGACATAATTTCCGTAATACCAGTTTCTCGTTAATAAAGCTTCTAGGATATTTAACTGTAAACGATACATTGATTACTAATATTAATTTAAATATGCAAGATGGTGATTTTATTTTAAAAAAGGATCGTGTAAAATAGAAATCGGTGTAATAGAGATATCGTTATGATATTTCGGACTCGCATATATTAATGTCAGACGAAAAAAGCGCATATTAGATATTATTCGCTTCTTGAAATTAAATAAAGTTTTTTTAAATTTTCAGATGTTAGCAAACTGTTAATATTACATAAGCACTTAAGGAAGGATTAAATTAGCCATTCATGATTCATAGAGGAAAAACTAATAAAAGAAGTTTCTAAGATTGAGTTTTATTACATAATCGTTGGTTTTTTTCTGCGTGCGGTGCAGTGGGGAGCATCGAGACAATGATTGGCGACACCAAGAATCTACCGTTTCTTAGATATTAATATTCACGTCAATAAAACAAATAGCGGCAACGACTGTAAAATCGTTTCGCGCCTACAATCCAGATATTTCCGTAATGCTTTAGTCATACCTGCGCGTGATTCTATGCACTTTCATAGTGCAGTAGCGTAGAAAACAATATGCGATATAATATACCGATGTGTCTAATGATATAAGAGGATAATCCGTTTTACATAAATTATCCTATCGAACTTAATTAGTTGAAATATCTCTAGTATTTTTGAAGATACAGAAAATTACAATTAGAGTTCCGGTTAGAGATAACGTGCACGATAAATACACCCAATGTTCGAATAAATGAATGTATTATGAATATGAGTATACTTTTTTTTATTCATCGAGAAACGAATAGATACTTTTCATTCGGTTTGATTAGATATTTTTGTGAATAGGATTATAAATATGTTTTATTTTACATTCGCTTCCACTCTGTATTATTTGTACATAATTTATAAATATCCAGTAAACAGAAATATGTAAAAATAATGAAACAGACAGAAGAACAATTCGGACTTTAAACTAAGTATCTTTTTTAAATTATATAAAATTATTCATACGTTCCTGTTGCGCATCCAATTCCTCAATTAACATTCCAAGAAAACCACATCCGTAAAAAAATATGAAAAGAATAATGTATGTGAACAGAATCATTATCACAATTATTTTTTTCCACATTCAACTAACGATTTCATGAAGACAAGATTTAACAATATGTTGTTTAATCAAAGCAACGGTTCCTTATTGAAGTTTCTTTTTAGATACATTTTGTTTGAATACTTTGAATGAATATTCGTGAAATAATCATATTTTCATAAATATTTTTGAAAGCCCACAGTTTTGAATGAATACGAATACACTGAAAAAAAAAACTAAATTTTAATAAATATTTCTTTAATAAATGAATATTTACTAAATATAAACATGTAATTATTTGATACAAAAATTAATCTGATTTAACTATTCATCTTTTGTATTGAATAAACATTTATTTACTGTAAGTAAACGTTTACGGAATACTATTCAAAGAAATATGTATGAAGGTTTAGTTTTTGAATAAATTATACAATTTGATTACAAATTTTCATTTTCATCGGTCACACTAGTTAGGGGAGGAACCGAGCTCCGCAGTCGAATTAAGTGTGGAATATCCCGTCGGCGCGTATTCCGTATTCCTACGCTACGAAGGCACGCAGACCTCGACTCGACGGCGCAGTTGAGCGAATGTGCGAATACCGCGGGCGGCTAGTAGTAAATCGCACAAATCGCGAACGGGCGCATGCGCGTCCGCCGTGGAATGCGCGCTCTCGCGTACCTTTACCTCCTCCTCATCCCCTCGCCAACCCTCTCGCATCATCTCCCTGGCTCCGGCCCTTCTACTCGCTCACCCCGCCACGCCCCCCCCCCCCTCTCCCTCTCCCTCTCCCTGCCACGTCCCGCCGACCCGTCCAGTTCGCGGGGCCATTGCAATCTCTTCTTTGTTGCTTTGCCACGCCGCGCTGCACCGTTTCGGTACGCGCTGCCTTGTACGCGTCACACTACGCGGCTCATTTCATTCGGCGATGTGATGTCATACACTACGTTGAATACGCGATGTATATGTGAATGCATTGCGCGTGCATACCCACGCATGTGCGTACTTGTGAAGGAAAAGAAAAATTGGAAAGCGCGCAGATATGTATCCGTATTTGTGCGCACATTTATGTGTATCACGTCGCGCCGCGATTTTGGATATTTAAATAAGCGCTTTCCAATTCTTCCACATACTTTCTGCCTTTACTTTAAATATTTATAATATTACTGACACAGAATTTCTATATTAATTGCGAGTTGCAACTGTTGGACAAGTATTTCAAATTTGTAAATAACTCAAAGAGCCTCGTTGGGATCTTCGTATCAAGTTGGTGAACTTAATTCAATGAAAAGTTGTGGAAGTGAATTACTAAAATATTTCACGAAAATATCGCAAAGATGTTAATAACGATAATTTAACGAATCTTGCTATATAAATCCATTCAAAATTCATATTAAAATATATATTAAGGATAAGCAGAAGTTCCGCGACCTCTCTCTTTTCCTCCCTCCCTCTCTCTCTCCATCCCTCTCGTTCTCTTCATGCTTTCCTCCCCCCCCCTTTCTCTCTCTCTTAAGAGTGACCTCTATATATTTTATAAATATAAATGTGTGTGTGTGTATGTGTGTGTATAAATGCATTATATAAACGTATATAATTTTCAAAATTTGATGTAGCAATTTTCTGGAGCTTAAAATTTGAAATGCAAATCATGCGTCTCGACGGCATACAAGACATGCACATCCCAATTTTTATTCATTCTCATATTCATATTAAATATCCTGATATTGAATATTTCAAAAATAATTCGCGACACGACTAAATTAGCTATTACTCCTATTTTCATCGATACGGTCGATCGGAATTCTAATTCTCCACGATAATTTAATTCTAATGTCCGTTTCTATTAACGTAAATTAACTTTGATCTTGGTTTAACTTACTTTTTACCTTTTTCCAGTTTTAAAATAATTAGAAAATGATAAAGAATAAATTAAATCAAAATTAAAAAATAAATCTAATCTTACATTGAATGGAACCGGGCCTTATTCGATTGTTATCGAGGAGAGGATATAATCGATTCGCAAAATGCAAGAAATTGCAGCACGTCGCGGCTCGTTGCATTAATCGGGAGGGGAGGGGGGAGGGAGGGGGAATCGTCGGCTGCGCGCGAAAACGTGAGGGCCGATTGAAACGTGTTGCGTTCATTAATAGCGAAGCGAGTTGTGGCACGCGAATTAGCGTCGATGTCATGCGGCGAGTATTATAAGTAAGTACATGAATCGAAGGAGCGCGGCGCACCGTTCACCCAATACGACGGAAAGCGGGGATCGTTCGCTCGCCCTTACCTTTTCTTTCGCGGTGTCTTAGCCGATGGTCTTCACGGTCGATGATTTATCTTCGCGCGAAGGGCATCTCGGGGCGGCGTGCGTAATCCGGTTAATCCAACGTGACACAAGAGAGACGTGCGGCGCGGTTTAGCCGCGCAACAGGTGGTCGTCGAAGGTAAACACTCGCGGCGGCATTCGTATAATATACAGGGCGCACAGCACACAGCCACAGATTTGTCGCACGACGCGCGCTCGCGTCTCGTAAAACGCTCCGTCCAACGCTCCCACTCGCGACGGTTTTCACATTCGACTCACAAACGCTTCCCGTAAGAAGCCACCGTGGGGAACACTTACGGATTCGAAGCCGCGGCGCGGGCGGAATCGATTCGCCTCCGTCGCGCGCGACCAACAGTTCTCTCGGTAATCTCGGTATTCCGCGCGCGCGCGAACGGTATTCTCCACTGCGAATGGCCGCGCGAGGAACGTCGCGCGATGAGAGTTTCCAGCAGCGGGAACGTGAAGCGGCAACGAACGCGCGGCGCGCAATCACGACATTTTACACCGGCAGCCGGCGAGTGACTGACTTGACTGACTGACACTGGCGGTACGCACCGGCTCGCGCTCCACCATCGGCTTCGACTCCAAACTCTCCGGCACCAGCTTGCTATACTCGGGATAATCAATCTCACAAGGGACCGTCTTACATGTGATATTCGAACATTAAAGTTCAAAGTCGAAAAATCACCTTTCAATATAGATATTTTAGATGGACTTGGCTGGAATCACTCAAAAAAGTGATCTTGCAAGTACAAAAAATAGCTGGAATAGATCAATTTCTAGCAAGTATTGCGATATTGGATATGTATTGCATCTAATCATATAGATGACAGAGATAGAATTTAGATTTGTGCTATAAATTCTATGTGTATGATACATAATTTTCTATCAGATACAAAAAATAGTTATAATTCTAGCTGGAGCAGCAAAATATTTTTTTGCGTGATATATTTGGCCATTTTAACTTGTTGTTAGACACAAAATACATCGAGAACAATATATTTTTGAAAAAAAATGTTTCAAATAAGTGTGTTGTAGGATTTGAAGAGGACTGTAGCCTACTTGGGCTTAATGTAAGGCCCTGGACCAAAAATCTAAGTATCTCACCTGATGATCCTCTTCAAATCCTACAACTTGTATTTGAAATATTTTTTTCAAAAATGTATTATTCTCGAGATATTTTGTGCCTAATTGTTAAAATGACCAAACATGTTCCGGTTCAAGTTGAGGATTTCACAGAATCCATAGGATGTCAAGATTTGACCATCTACAACTTTTGTGCAACTTTGTACTGTAAGGGAAGCGACATTCTTCATGTCGAAATTATCCTCGTTTCTCAAGAATTGAATGTATTAATTATCGATTGACAATCTCTCTCGTGTCCCTTATCTATTTCTAATATCATACAATTAAATATATTTTAAATTATATGTTAAATTTGGTTCTTGCTTTCACATAGTCTTATATGATGTTTTTTTAAAATCAAGCGCCTATGATACAATTATGGTTCCTCATTCAAAATTTTGTATTCGACCAATTGAAATCGTGATTGGTAAACAAGATGTGGCCTCGCGGCGATTTAAATTCAAATTCAAATTCCTAAAATAGAACGAGTACCTAATTCAAGGATTTAACTTCTTAATAGTATATTTAACTTAATAGGAATCGTATTCATTTTTCAGTGTCCTAAAATTTCAGAGAATTGTATGTTTATGTAATAACGCTTTTTAGGCTTTTACGGGTATTATCTTCAAAGATACCAAAAAGTTTGCGGGGTATCATCCATTTTTAATGCCAATGCATTAACACAGCGATAACCCGCAAATTCTTCTGGTATATTTATGTAATAAAATGAAATTAAATGGACTATTCAAGAAAAAGAAAGCGCAACTAAACGTAAGTCCATATTACAAACACATTAAAGATTTCTAGTAATCGAGAATGGATTGTGAAATGGATTCAAATTTTCAGAAATACGCATTCGCGGATTAAAATGAATCCTTTTCAATCCGAAATGCATTTTTGTTTATAGGAATTGCATGAAGCACATTTTTTTAATGTAAAAATAATATCAGCTTTTTCTGTACATCGTGAACACTGTTCAAAATTCTGAATAGGAAATGTAGTTTCTGAAACCATCTATATATCCAATTGAATCTAATTAAATCTAATTGAATCCAATTGAATTTGAATTGAATCCAATTGGATCCAATTGAATAAAAAAAAAGTTTTTGCTATTTAAAATACGCATTCAGAGATAAAATTTCAATCCATTCTCGTTTGTTGGGTTAACGATTGCGAATTGAAAATTTGATCAATTTAATAATTTTTATCAGTTTCATTTTAATTGATTAAATTTTAATTTTTAATTTGTAATCCTTATAATTTCCAACGTATAGTTTGATGCATTCTTTAAAATAAAGACAGAAATCCGTTGCAAATGTAATTTATTGCATCTAATTCGAACAGCATTTTTTCTCTTCATTTTAACAAAATATCGCCTCTAATATAACTACCAATAATAGTAATGCTGAAAAATCATTTAGAACACTGTGACTGTTGTGACATCGTATTTATCGTATGGTCAGTAAAGTATAATCGGAATACAGCCATTGTGGTATAAGGTCCGCATGCGCGTTAGCACCCAATGAACACGTTCGACGACCTTAAGTCCTACACACAATGGAATAAATATTAGAACCGGAACAAATATATATTATTAAATATCATGCGGGGTCTACAATAGAAGTCGTAGCGGTCGTAGGGTCTTAAGTCGTAGAAAATTGACCAATCACAGTTGATTATTCTTCTCATATTCGACTGTGATTGGTCAATTTTCTAC